CTTTATATAATGGTTGGGAATAAGATAATAGTCTAGAAATATGTATCAATGCTTCTTTTATCATCGATATTTCCACATATTTCCACAATGTCTCTAATTTTTACAATATTTCCCCTCGACATTTCCGACATTTCCGACATATGTCCTATATTTTGGTAAGCGACATTTCCATCGACATCGACATTTTAAACCTTGCAAATGGTGAACCACAACTATAGCCATGTAGTGTCTATGGGAAAGTCGATATATCTGACCCCATTGCTGCCCACAAATAGTGTGGCAGTGCTAGAGCAGGGCTGCAATGTCTACATGGTCGTGTTGGCATACCTCAAAGTGATAACCAATCATCTTGGTTTAGGCATATGCAGAGTTTTCAAGGTGCCAAGGCGAAGCTAGGCAATAGGAGAGCACCTTGTCACCTTGTCACCTAGTCACCTAGGCGTTGGGTTATTTAAAATTAAAAATATAAATTCTAGGGTCTTATAATATATATATAATATCCTAGGGTAGATCCCTAGGTTTCATAGTAATAAGTAGTGATCTTTAACTAATTGGAGCAGGTGACTCTCTCAGGGATGAGATATTTGTGGCTCTGGAAGTATAAACCTCATATCAATAGATAGCAAGTTAACATATCTATGAGTAGATACGAAAGGAAAGAAACATACAAAACATACGGGTTGAGCCCTTCTTTTGGTCCTAGGAAGAAGTCCTATTGATTGTTCTTGTGTGTCAATTGGATAAAATCTTCAAGTGGTTAGGCATATGCCCTCAAAGCCCTTGTTTTGCATATGCCTAAACCAATTGATATACTACTCAGTGACATAGTCTTGAACCCTCTATGTCACTGACTTGTGTCTCAAATGAACCCAAACAAATAAGAAAATAACAAAAAGAAAGTAGCATAAGAATAAGAATATTAATACTACAAACCCACAATATGAATAATTTAGTCTAATAATATCTATTGTACTACTATTAATAGCATAAAATAAGAATATAAACTATTTTATTTGATCAATGAAAATATAAAACAATGTGTGGTGTCTTACATAAAAATATTTAGGCGTTTGGGTGAGGTGACCCTCCAAGAACGCCTCTTATTTGCCTGGGTGTCGCCTTGACAACTATGAGGATATGTATACTGGGGTGAACCCAATCCAATATGAAAATGACTCGTAACTGACCACTATCCAACCTACTAGGATTGGACATGCCTTCACAACTTATCATTGCAGCTCATTCAGGTCAAGTTGTGTACTTGTTCACTGCACTGTTGCCAGCCCTAACTGCACATGATTTATTGGACAGCATTTACCATTGCAGCTCGTTCTTATCATCTCAGACTTGACTTGGTTGGACAGCATTTTTTATTATTTCTCTTTTGCTCTGTACTAGTCCAATGTTGATAAAAGAAAATATAGGATGGACCAAGGTTTTCAAACTGTCGTTGACCCAAACGGTCGGACTATTCAGCCCGGAAACTGGTCAGGGACTCAGGGTATCAGTTCTGTTTCACCACTGAACTGCTTTTTTCCATTGAATTGGTCAGCAACTTGCTGACCCCAGCAGTTGAATTGTCAATCCGTTTGATCCGGACAATGGTTTTCGGGCCAAATTTTATTTAATTATTTTTTAAAACATCATAGGCTGATCCATTCGGACTGGATGGTCGAACTGCTGACCCGGAGACCGGTGGCCAAAGAGGTTCCAGTTGCAGGTCGTTTTTTAAAACATTGGGATGGACACTTGATGTCAATATCTTGAGTGTTGATTTCCTTCATTGGACCTGTAATATAAGGGGACATATTGCTTAAGTTGAACTACCTTGTGAACTTTAATAAAAAAGAGAAAACTACCTTGTGAAAGTTTATTAGTAAGTTAGCTAGCGATCTACCAAACCATTGTCCACTAATTAATAAAAGGGTAAAAGACTTAAATATACCCTGGGTTTTCTTAAATTGACTTAAATGTACCCTGAATTTTTCAGAAAGACTTAAAGATACCTTGCGGCTCTCTTGTCCTTCATTTTCTTTCAAATTTTCAAAATCTACTCTGAAATTTTCAAACTCATGCGAGTGGTGGTCTCTCTCTCTCTCTCTCTCTCTTCCGTGTCAACAGTTGATGTAGCTTTCAATGGCGGTTACCCTTCCTCCACGTGTCCAACTAGTTAAAGGTTGGTTTTCCACCAACCTTTTTCAAGGTATAAGAACTTTGAGAGCATTCCACCAACCTTTTAGTATGTTTCTTTTATATTTGCAAGCTTTTGTGTTTCTTCTGTACCATCCCTCTAATTTACTCTAAAAATGGCCCAACTTTCTTCTAGGAATTTAAAAATTATGAGTTGTTTGGCTTATGGAGATATGCCTAAGTCTATTTGAAAAACTCAGGGTATGCTCAAGTCTTTTACCCTTAATAAAATAGTAGTAGTTGTTAAATGAACCTTTTTTGGGACTATCTCTGTGTTACCCTATTTATTGGCTTACGGTTTTATGATTTTTTGTTTATTCCAGGTCGAGCATGGGGACGCTCATACTCATATATTTCACCCTGGCAATTAATAGAACAGGTTGAACTTGGGTGGGTGGTTGAACATCAATTTATTACACCAGAAGGTGACGGACCAGAACAGTATTCTTGTTTTTCAGATCTTCACCTTTGAAAGGGAATTTTGATTAGTGCCCGTTGTAGTGAAAGCCAACGAGACATGCGGATCTATAAAATATCAGCGGGAACTGGAGTACAGAGAGCATTGACATGCCCAACCAACTGTTTTTGTACTTCACGATGGAAGCTTGACTCTCCTTTTCCATCCTAACATTTGGGAGATCATTTTCCTGGTACAGATTTAGGTCTAGATATTGCGTTGAGATTAAATACTTTTTTACTGTTCTATGGTCCTTTTCTCTGCGCATTCATTTGGCTTGGTTTCACATTTACATCTTGGGTGTATAATCCAGTGCTACAGGACGTTTTAGGGTACATTTTGTAGAGTTTTTACAAGGATCAATTATCCCACTGGCACAAATTGTTCTTTGCTCTTCACCCTAAGGGGTTTGCTGATTGCAGGATGCACTTAATAAAAGATTAGTAAAACAGAAAGGATAAGGAAGAAAATTAATATCAATACATCTCTCTCTCCTAGTTTTTCAAATCGGACTTGGACCTCCGGATGACGTCCGTGGACAACCACCCATCCGTTAACTCTCTATCCATATGTGTTGTTACAAATGATATAATGTGTAATTTAAGTTTTCTGAAAATCTCAATTTTGCCCTTATTGGATGTAAATGACATTTACATCCACCTTTATTTTTCAAATTTTCTAAGAGAACAAACAAATAGATTATTTTTCAAATTTTCTGAAAATCTCACAACTTTCTGTTTCTCCATGTATAAAAGTATGAATCCATTTAAGTCTGCCCAACATTTTATGATATACATGTTTACATATTGTCGATTTATTCTACCTGGAAATTGGCCTACAAAACTAAACACTCCCAAGCCCAAACCTGGTTCAAGATGTTGGGTTAAGTTCAGGTTGAGCCTGAATTAGTAAAATCGGGTTTAACCATGAATTGGGGTTACATTCCTAAATGTATTAGTTTTTATTTTTACTAAATTGTCTTAACTTTTATTAAATTTTTATTTAGGATTAATTTTTGTTATTTTTAAATGGATTAGGGGATTTTAAATTTATAATAATTACGTTTAAAACTAATAATTTTGTTAATTTTTTACTTTATCAACAAATCTGGAGTATAATTTTATTTTTAAAATGAATATCAAATTATAAGATTTATTTTTGAAAATAAACTTTTCTTACTTTTTGTTTGTTTTATTAATAAACATGTATCAATTTGTATTAACTTTATTTTTTAAGTAAAACTTGTATTAATAAAAAATATTAAAATAATTGTAGTTAAGTTATAATTAATTAACTAATCATATTATTATGTTATTATTTAATTAATATTTTTAATTATACAATCATTTTCTAATTTAACTAAATGTGTTAAGTTAATTAATTATATAATTAAGGTCCCATGTTCATACTAAGTTAGTATTAGTGCAAGCTTAAACAGGTAGTGCTTTTTTACTACCTCATCAATCATGAAAGAGGGTTCACTTTGTTTAAAATTTTCCTTTTCTATAATTTGTCCAACATTATAATTGTTTATTGCCTTTGATTTTTTATAATTATATTATAATTTCCATTGTGCATTGTCTTTGATTTTTTTGCATTGATTTAGAGTTGGGGGTGTAATTGGCGTTCCATTACCAATCAACGAACTAAAGTTTTCTCCTAACAATAAAATGTTTTACATCAAGAGGTTTTGTAAAGTATTTTAGGAGAAAACATGAGTCAATTAAAGAGAGATTAGAGATATTTTAGAAAGATTTAGGAAAGATTTTAGGGGAGGGAGATTTTAGGAGACTTGAAGAGAGATGTTTTAAGAAGACTTTTATGTAACTGGGAAGTGGGTATTAATTGGAGTAGGGAGAGGCTTGCTGATGTGACCTAATGAGAGGGCTTTATAATGGACGCACACCTCAATTAACACTACCAAGGTTCAATTTTTTTTTTTAAACCGGTTTAGGGGGCTGGTTTAGAGCTCCTCCACCCCCTAAACCGGTTAGACCCCCGATACACCCATATAGGGGCATATTAGAGAGGTCCCGAAACAATACATATCGGCCGATACGGGCCGATACATATCAATACTTTGAACCTTACACTACAATAGTAGGAAACACTACACGTCTCGGCCAAAGCCCTAACTTGTTCCTTGCAGAGAATGCTTTCTAGGTCAAAGGGGGATTAACGACCCAATTGACTAACCTAACAGCTCGAACCGATGGGCTCCACGTGGCACTAACCTCATGAGATGAAACAACTCCCAGAGATGGGGCTAGTTCTCCCATCGATTCTAGCTCAAAGACACATTGAACCGGACCCCCTCGTGCCGTCCCATGCACGGCTTCAATTAGTTGACCCCAGCACTTGTCCTGTGTACGAACCTATGACGGATGACGTCAACACCTGTATGATGCATGCAGGTAGCCTACGCTCGTACGGGACACGGTCACACACCCTCATCTTGGAATGAACCTTTACTGATGCAAAGGGTGGACGGAAGAGCAATCGCCACACAGCCACTGAGAAGATCTCTATAGCCGAGGCCAACGCCTCCATGTAAATCTACCATACTCTCTTCAACTAAAGTCGAGGCCTCAACGCAACCCACCAACCGACCTCGAACGCTACGGTCTTGAAAATGGGGGGCAAGTGATGTAGGGATATCTGGCCAACCCACGGATCTTGACACATGGCGTCGGTCGGGTGCATCATGGCCATCAATCATCAACCACTACCAACCGCCGCCACTTGCTCCCAATTGCCCCTCTTCTAACTTAACTCTAGCTATAAAAGGGGCTCCCACATTGAGGTAAAGACACACACAGACTTAAGCTCTAAGTTTCCTCTCTTGCTTGGTCCTACCCCTCATTGCTCTTGGCTAATTTGACCATCGGAGTCTTCACCCTTAGAATAACTCCTGGGGCCTCTGACGTCTTCTCTCTCTCAACAGGTTGGACCCGTCAACCTCGGACACCAAAAATTACATTGTTACCCTTGGCTCCGTATTTGGTAGCAACACATATAATGTCTTGGAAGGGTATTAACTATCAAATATAGCCACATGTCGTAAAATTGAGTAGTTAGCATCTTGATAACCCTAAAAACCAACACATATCCTAGCATATGGTGCAATGTGTATTGACACTTTGAACCTTGGGAACAACCATTTATGACCATATGCAATATCGATATGTTTATAGGGATGCAAATGGGTCTGATCGGATTTGAATCAAGTTATATCCAATCTGATATATAAACAATATATCCAATCTAATCCAAAGATTCAATCAGATCTCACAAACATTGATTTGAATTCAAATCTAATAAGAATGTTGAATATCTGAATATGATCCGATTTGACTTAATTTTTAAAATGTTTAATAAATTATTAAAAGGAAAAGAAAATATAACAATTTAAATAAAGGTAAACAAAAAATATAAATATTTTTCAACTATTTTGGCATATACACAGGTATTGATATGATACTCTCGATACGGGAGTGTATCGTATCTGTATCCATGGCCATATGGATACAGGATACACTATGACTGGATACGTATCCCATGAATCGTGCGTATCAATACGATATGCCTCCGTATCGGGTTGTATCGCATTGTATTGATGGATACGATCGATACACACTGATACGAAGGCGTATTCGTGTCTAGTTTGACAAAATTGTACATTGAGTACTTTTGCATTGTTTTTCAACTTTAATAAAAAAAATAGTATTATGAAAACTGAAATAAATAATTTAAGATTTATTTTTTTTTCAAAAAAAAATTAATAAAAACTAAAAATTATAAAAACAATATATTTCATCTACCTTAGATGATTTATACATTTTATTTTACACATAATTATATGTTAAAAATGAAAATATAGTTATTATTTAGAAAATATTTACTATATAAAAATACCAAATAAATAAATTTTCTCAACAAATTTAATGGAAAACAGAAAATTATAATTATAAAAACTAAAATGAATAATTTAAGATTTAATTTTCCTAAAAGATTTAATAAAAACTGAAAATTAAATATAATTTATTTTATCTACCTTAAATGATTTATTTGTTTTGTTTTACAATTATATGTAAAAGAAAAACATTATATTGTTAAAAATGCAAAGATATTTACTATTTAAAAAAATAGTTTTTATTTAAATAAAATAGTAAATTAATAAATATTCCCAAAAATTAATAAAAATTGAAAATTATAATTATAAAATTGAAAGAATGATAATTATTGTACAATGTTTGAATGTTCTAGCGACCCGGTATTGTTTATTGTAATATTTCTCTTCATATAACCTATTCAAGTATGCATTTCTCATGTCTTTATATCATATTCATAGATAATTCAGTTTTTGATTTAGTATTATTAATGTATTTATGTGATTTGTATGCATTTCACTAGCATATCCAAGCGTTTCTATATCTTTCGTTCGTATCCATGCGTTTCCTAAGTGTATTCGTATCCGTATCCATATCCGATACTTTGATCCTTGATATATATATATTTTATAAAAAATAAATAATATAAAAAATTACAAAAGTACAGTATATATATATAGGGCTGTCAATGGTCCGGGTCTAGCTTGAGATAGGATAGAACCATCCCGAACCAATTGCTAAAATTGATAGAACCATAACCGAACCAGATTTATAGAACCCTATGTTCTACAAAATTAGAACTAGTACCGAACCGACAGGAATGGAATCGGGACAATTGGGTATGTTCTGATAAGGCCCGATTACATAAGCAAAAGCTTGTCATCACCTGCAATTTTTTCGATAGAACTACTTCTCCATAACAAGGAAAAAAAAACTATGGAATCATGTAATTTTTTTCAATGGAACTACAAATCTATAATAGCGAAAAAATATGGAATCATAGCGCAAGTTATAGAACTTTTGAGAGACATGGAATGTCGTCTGCCGCTGCTTCCATCTTCCAACACTACCGTTGTTGCTTTAACTTCTATTTTCTACCGCTGCTACTATTGTTGCCGTCATTGCTTCCACCATTGGCACCGCCCCTATGTTTGAATCTTTAAGATTGAAGATGGTTAGAGAGTGATTGAGTAAAGATAGTTGAAGGGAAACTAGAGTTTGAGTTGAACGAAAGGGGGGAACCAGAGAAGAGATGGAAAAGTTTTGAAGAGGAAGAAAGGTAGGCTAGCTGGATAGGGACCCTTAGACCCATTCAATGGCAAACTGTCCTTCGACCTAACCAAAATGACCATTTTGGACATATATGATATATTTAATATATGTTATATAATCGGTTCGGGACTGCCAAATCGGGTAGTACCGACCCATTGACAGCCCTATGGGGGTGACTCAAATTTGATCCAATCTCAGCCATATCTTATTATCCGCTCAAAAATCTGAAATGAAAATATCTAAATCTGACAAATTAGGATCCAACTTCATGATCACATCCATTTCCACCCCTATATATGTACAATGTATGAGTTTTCAGGGTCACCAATATGAGAGTTGGTTATTCTAATTGTTTTAAATGTTAACTGATGTAACATGTCCTTTGTCAAATTACCAAACCAAAAAAGTGAAAATGGAAAGAGTTTTAACCATTGCCCAGAATGTTCAGCATGTTTTTACCATTGTGCAATAAAGGACTATTTTAAGTCCGTTGCTTCTATTATTTGAATTTATTTGTTTTTTTAATAAAACATTGGGTACAAGATTCAAGTATACCCTGAGTTGAGTTGCTATATTAGGCTTAGGTTGGATTATGATGCCAGATAGATATAATATTTATAACCAATCAACCATTATTATAAAAATGGAAGTTAATCAGGTGGGTTTTCGTTTTCCTTAGACTTAAACACACCTTCCCAGTTCCCACAACAGATGGACAGGTTCGATGATTCAAAAACAGATTCCCTGACGACACTGAAAATCTGAGAAACCCATTTGAAAATCTGACATGGATTTTGCATATTTGGCCTAACTAATCGAACCCATAAATTCTTTTTTAAAAAATTCAACGTGAGAATCTGCAAAAATGAAAGGTTATTTCATTCTAGGGAAACTCTCAAGAGGAACAGATTCCATTTTCTCTGAGACAGGAAACCCCACATACGCTGATGGAGGTCAGGCCAGATTCATGCTAAATTCTGAATTTCTGAATTCAATAGTGGTTTGGTGAGTGGTTAGACAGGTCAGAAACCCTCGTTTGCCTACTTTTGTTCTGACATGCAAACTGTTTCTGAAACACTGTGCAACAACTTTTATTGATTATTAGTTTTTCTAGTCAAATTAATATGTACTGATTATTAGTTGTTCTGTCATGCAAACTGTTTCAGACTTCCTAATTTGTCTATTCCTCTCTAAAAGTTTTCATTTTAATTGGGATTCAATTGTTACCAACTAGAAGATGAGGTTTTTCACGCGGAAAGAACTCGGTAGAACATTTGAACAGAGCTCTGTCCAAGTTCACCCAGATTCAGCCATGAATTATGAATTTAACCATGGAAGCTCTGTCCAAAGTTCCAAACTTTACACTAGAGAGGGAAAACCATGTTTTTTTCCTGACTGAAGAACAGAACAGGAAAAGCTGGCTTTTATGGTGGAGGGGTTCAGGGGGAAGCTATTTTTTAATCCAGTTTGGTTTACACCATGGTTTTGAAAACTGAGCTGGACCAGACGGTCGGACCGGTTGACTCAGGTACCGGTCAGATAATTGGTTCCGTTTCACCCTAAAATCGTTCTTGGGCCAAAAACCGTTGATTTGATCAACGACCCACTGACCCAAGTAGTCAAACCATTGACCCAGACAACGGTTTTTGGGTCAACAGTTTTTAAAACCTTGAAAAAGAGGGTTTTTAAATATTGAAATTGGCCACATGATGCCACATATTAATGGTTCTCACTTCTCAGTGTATGTTAAAGTCGAGTATTAGTCCACGAGGTTTAAGTTTATTTGAAAAACTGGATGTATTTTTAAGTCAATTTATAAAAGTTCAGGCTATATTTTAAGTCTTTTACCTAAAATGTTCCAAAAGTATTTAGGGAAAATGAAGAAAACTCAAACCTTCTCCCAGCCATCTGTTCTATACTGCTATCTAGCATACCACTTCCATTCTCATTCTGCTTTTCTACTATTATCGTAGAGGTCTACCGTCGCTGCTTCTTCAAAGAAAGAATTCTTTTGGTTATCTTCCCATAAACTTCCTCAAGGCTTCCATTAATGCAAGTTCCATTATTAACACTTGATTCTTTTTTCCTGTACACTTGAATTGATCCATTAGAAACCTGCTAGAACGATTATATATTTATATCGTAGCATTCCATGGGAAGTTTTGGTTGTAGTGGGCTTCTTGCGAGTTCTAATCCCATTCCATTATGACTAGAATCGGTCCAGTAGAGGCTAGAGCATAGGCACTACAATAAATTGGAGGTTTCATAAAGCATGACATATCAATGGCATTTCCGAATGTACAATTTATCTTTGGCACCACGTGAAGAGCTTGATGGAAAAATTCGATGCCTATCGTGAAGAAAAAGGTAATCAAACTGCCGACTTGCTGAGAGGAAGGGGAAAAATGAAGAATCAAATATGACAATGGAATGAATGGATTGGTTGAGTTACTTAGGCGAAGCCCAAAATAGAGAAATTGGTTGCCTGGATTTTAAATTCAATCATTTTCTCTTTTTCTCAAGATAATTATTAATAAATAAATAAATATATGCATCTTTTTGGAGAAATGCATATTTTCACTTTAAAAACTTTAATCTATACCACCGTACCGTTACACTAAAGCAAACCTTATGTACAGGAATACAATCAATACATGAATCTCTTCTCTTGCTTCATATTGGAACAAAATCCGGTCCATTGACAGCACTGGAACTGTTTCAGGATCCGACCTAAAATCCGACCCATATAAATAAATCTATCCACCTAGGGGTTCTCCTAGTACCCACAACCAAACCATATGCCCCATCTGGATGTGATCTTGGTTATATGGATCCGCTTTATATCCAACCTATTTCCAACTCTTCTTCTATCCCAATGAATGATGTAAGAAAACAATCCAGCATAGGGTGATTTATAGAGCTGAGAGTCAGTTGAATAAAAGCAATCAACATGAAAACATGATGAGAAATACGACAACTGAATGATGAATCCTTTTCATGAGTCACTGTCCATAGGGCGACAGATTTCAAGCATTGACATTGTTTACTTACTCCCGCAGAAGAATATACAGGTTAAACAAAATGGTTAGAAAATAATGAAATGGTTCACTGGTAGTTGAAAGAAGAGATTATATGCCAATAAGAATGTTTTGTACAACCAAATTTTTAGGAGCATTTCCTCGACTGAGAGAAAAGTTGTAATCACCCCGCAATGAGAAAAGAAATCAAGAATCAAGATTCTATTGGTGTACTCAAAAGTTTCTAATAACCCCAATGACAGAAATTAAAAGTTGATAATTACTACCACCACCACCACCGGCCCTAATAAGATAAGTTTTTAATGTCAATACTCAAGATTCCAGACTAGATTGTGAGGATTGAAGTGCACACTCTTGCTGACCTTAGGACATTATTGCTGTCCTTCCAAATACTCAAGGCAATTGAGTTACTGCAATCAAATTTTATGACCAATCCAAATTATTCAAGGCAATAGAGTTTATTGTTTCACCTGTTAGCTGCACGTTGAAATTATTGATCTGTCAAATATTTCATGCCATGTTCATTCTCCATTCCTTCAGGAGTTGCTCTATTCCCTGCTCTTCGGGTACTGCAAGCAACATGCTTGATGATGGACAAATGAAGGTCAAACTCTGCTTTCAGTTTAAAGCAGCTGGCTTCAATCCACTTCTCTGCCACACTGGTTGACACACTATCTTGGCTGTCTCTCTCATGTTCTTCAATGGCAGGACGTATTTCATTATACAGAGACTCAAGTTGAGAAGTGGCTTGCTTCTTTTTTCCCTGCAGGTTCAATGACAGTAGTATTACTTTTACTAAAACCCTGTTTTTTCTTTTGGCAGATGAGTAACAAATTAATATATTAAAGAAAAAAGGAGATACAGTATTTACAACAATAATACACCTCATTCTGAAGCCTGGTCATTACAAAGGTGTGGCCACTAGACTTGTTCACGGGCCGGGCCAAGCCGGGTTAGGGTTGGGCTTTGTCTTTATATTAACATAAAACATTCAGGCCCAAGCCCAAGCCCAGCCCGACGATGAGGCCTAGTTCTAGAGTCTAAGCCCTGCACCCATATAAAGCCTGAAGCCCAACTAGAAAATTGGGAAAAATGATTTTTTTCTTTTTTACTCAATAAAAAACTAATTTATTTATATTAAAAACTTCAAAACTCAAAAAAATTGAAAAAGCTCACCATAGCTTGAAAAAGAGAAGAGAAACAAAGAAAATAACATATTATATTAATTTTTATTCTATAAAATATGTTTTTTGCTATATAATATGTTATCAAGTTGGGCTCAAGCTTGGGCCGGGCTTTTTTGAGAAAGCCCAAGCCCAACCCAAAAAAATGCTGGGCCTAGTGTTTTAGGCCCGCACCCAAGCCTGCGGCCATAAACTCATTTTCAAGCCTGACTTAGAACGGGCCAAGCCAGCCCGGTCATGAACAGGTCTAGTGGCCACTTGCTTGAGAGCAAGTAAACCAATCTTGGACTTTTACCCATAAACAAGTTTAAATTTTCAACATGATACACCCGATACAGGGTGTATCATCGTATTGTATCTTTGACTACACGGTACAAGGAACGGTAGGAAACAATGTGTTTCTTATGCAAGAAAAAAGTTTGAATCGTCAAGTCTTTTGGAGATTTATCAAGATTTGGAAAATATTACAAAATAGGTAACACTTTTCAATTTTTTTTCATAATATGTTATGATTTCTTGTGTTTGTGTTTGTGTTTGTGTTTTTTTTTTTTTTTTTTGCTTGAATGCTTCAAAATGTTTAAATCTATGTTGATCTACACTTCTCGTGTTGAAAGTCACAGTTTTTTTTTTTGGTGTGTGTGTGTTAGTTGTGTTTGTGTTTTGTGTTTGTTTTTTTTTTTTTTTTTTTGCTTGAATGCTTCAAAATGTTTAAATCTATGTTGATCTACACTTCTCGTGTTGAAAGTCACAGTTTTTTTTTTTTGGTGTGTGTGTGTTAGTTGTCAAGGCAACGTGTAGGCAACAAGGTACCCTTGGAGGCTCACCTCGCCTAATCACCAAGTAGTTTTGCATGTTGTCTTATAAAATACTTTTATATTTTTATTTTTTGAGATTATAATTATAAAATAGACATTATTAAACTAAAATATTCATTTTGTATGCTTTTACACTAATTTCTTTTTATTATTTTCTTATTTGTCAGGGTTTAATCAAAACAAACATTCCTAACTGCTGTATTGAACCCTCAAAGACTTAAAAACCTGAACCAATAAGTAAGAACTTAAAATTTTGTCTAACCAACACATTTTCTTCTTCCACCTTTTCTTTTATAGGGGTTCAGCCCCTATATATTTTGATTTTTCTTTTCATTCTTCCTTTTCTTCTCATGAATATGTTGATTTTCTATACTTTAACATGAAGTCTATACTTTTCTTATGGAAATTATGGATATAAGGAAATATGTTTATGGAACCTAGGGAATTACCCTAGGCTATATGTATTTTACTTAAAAACATCCATCGCCTAGGTGACTAGGCGACAAGGTGCCCCCCTGTTGCCTTGAAAACTATGGTTATAAATAGATCTATGAAATTTTTATGATGAAATTTGGGAAAAATATAAAATAACCAAAAATTGAAAATTGTATTTTTTTTTTATCTGCCCATAAAGGTTGAACATGCTATAGATCTATGGACGATCCATCATATCCATAGAGCGATTGAAATTTCTTCTTCAATATTTAATTTTCATTTTTTTGTAATTTTTGAAATTAAATAATAAATGTTAATTATTTATATTTCCTTGTGATCTGTCCATAAAGACCAAGTATATTGTAGATCTATGGATAATCTGTCATATCCATAGAGATTGAAAATTCTTCTTCAAAATTTTTTATTTTTTATTTTTATAATGTTAGAGATTAAAAATAAATTATAGTTAATTATATTTTTTGTGATCTAACCATAAGGATTAAATATAGTGTAAATATATGGATGATCTATCATATCCATATAGCAATTGAAATTTCTTCTTCAATATTGATTTTTTTTATTTTTTCTATCATATAGGTTATTAATGAATACCATCATTCATGAAGGTATATTCTATACTTTCCATCACTAGATGCCCTTTTGTTTCAATTGTGAATATACAATGCTAGATGCTTAGTCATCCTTAATTCATCATTCATCATTTTAGTGCTACATGTGTTCAATTATCAGGCATTGATATTTTGTGGTTACAAACCTTCTAGACAATGTTTATATGTTCCCATATGTTGCGTACGATGTACTTCATAAAACCACTGGAATATGTTAATCTAATGTAATATATGCCTCATTGAGGCATTATATTTAGTGTTATCGATGTATTTTTATGATTTATTGAAGCATCTATGGTGTTTCCATGTGTATCTTGAATTTAATCTACTAGGTTTAATATTTTGGTGGTTTTTCATGTTCATAGGTAATGGTATAAACTACTGGATTTAAAGTGCTTTCAAAGCACTTAGGTGCAGGCATGCATTTAAGCAGCCTTGTTTTATAAAAAGATTTCCCCAAACAAAAATTAAGTATATAATGTTTCACATGGATATACGATAAAGCTTATTCCAAGACAAAGCAGACCCCCCAAATTGAGCATAAACTAGAATGCAATTCTATAGACGAAAGACATCCAAGGGCTATAAGGATAGGAGACTCCACAAAGGCGGAAGCATGCCCAGTTCTTCAAGGTCTCAGAGAGACTAAGTGAATGAATTTCAGGAATTTATGACAGGGTTTTGGGGGCCAATACATGGGTGAATAGAGATCAGCTGTTTTTAGGTAATTTGCATTGTAGAAAGTATGTAAACATCAGGGTTTGATTAGGTGGCTGATGTCATCCTAAAAACTATGTGGGATACTTGGATATCTATAGATCTAATAAAAAATTTTGGCAGATACCAATAAAAAAAAAATAACACAGTAATATAATAACCATGAAAAAATGTCATATTTTCTTTAAATACCATAGCTATACAACAAGATTTTAAAGAACCTCAATGGAAAGAAATCAGAATGTAAGAGTTATTTGGTATTTAGAAATATTCAGTTTCGAAGACGGTAATCAGATGTTTCCACCAGTGCCAATTACTCAACTCAACTCAACTCAGCCCTAATCCCAACTATTTGGCATTGGCTCCATTTAAGAAATTTAATAATATTCTTATAGCTTGTTCTACACTGTGGGCTTCTATTTTTTAAGATTATGAGTTTATAACTATACCTCTTAACATTTCTTGAAGTTTCATAAATAAACTGCATTTCACTTTCTTAATGTATATCTTTTTCAAGTTTCCTCATTTTCTAGATTTCTAAGAAAATTTTCCCAATTTACACTTGACAAAGTTCCTAAGAAAACAAAAAATAAGCATATCTGGGGCAAAAACCATTGCAAAATATGTTTGAAAATTTGCTAGGTGGCAGGTGGTTTAGCAAGGCCAAAAGAACCACACAGACCCCCAAAGAAAAAATCCCAGTTTTCTATAATTTTCTTTTTGATTGGTACACAGTTTCTTCAGTCTCTCCTCAAATGGCAGATTAGTCCATTTCTCCCTCCACTTCTGAACTGTACAATTTACAATTTTGCATGTAGTATGTTTCTTGCAATTTTTTGTATCTCAGGCCACGTCAGGTCAACCTAACCTAACCTGAGGCAAAACTATCTCACTCCTGAGTCCTGACCACAACTCAACCCCAGGTGACTCAACCTTGAACAACTCATCTCCAATAAAACAATAACCCTAGCCCAATCCAAGAACCCAGTCTACAAGTTTGTCTTGTAAACCAAATACAAAAGCAAATAAAATAAATAAGAAAAAAGAATCCCTGGTTGAGGGAGTAACTGGTCCCACCAAACCAAAATGTCGAAACCCCAAAGCATAACAAAACAACTACAAATCCAGGCCCTTCTGGAATAGGAGGGGTTTTGAGAGATGGACAAGGTAAACTTTTATCATTCTTTTCTGGCCCTGCGGGTATGGGCGAATCCCTCAAAGCAGAACTGCTTCCTGCAATTCAAGGGGTGCAGATAGTTAGCAAGCTAAACTTGACAAATTTGGTGATTGGAGGAGATTCGAAAGTGGTGGTAGAATGGCTAAAGAATCCAGAGTCTATAATCTGGTGCTACCAGAATGAAATGAAAAGATTTACATGGCTAACCAGGAATATGAATTTGAGGATTCAATGGGTGAGGAGATCAGCAAATGGTGTGGTGGATGCTTTGGCTAAGCAAGGGGTAAATAGGTCTATTTTATTCAGGGCACACTTGTAAAGTGTTTTCTTTTTGTATGAGAGGTAGTAGCTCGTGCCTCTATGGGATGCTTGTAAAGATATGACATGAAGTTTATTAATAAAATTCAAGTCATTTATCAAAAAAAAACAACTACAAATTAATTTATTCCATTCGCAGCCAACAATCACAGGGAAATGGGGAGAGAGACTTACCACTGCCAATGATAGTCAGTTCAAGTGGGATGACAAAATGACTGCAGACAAGGAGAAAGGAGGTTTGAATCAATTGTGAACCAATGGGAAGCAAGAATAGGGAATTCAGCTATTACATGCGCAAGGAGTTGATTTAATGTTTAGATCATTTTTTAAGTAAAACCTACTTAGCATCCATTATTTCTTTTCTGTTCTATAGAGAATAAAGAATTAGAACAAGGCCGATTGCTGTGTAGGGTGATTTGTGATAATTTTAACCATCACTTTATGTGCTGTGAGTCATGTGAGACATGAACCCTCTATTAGGGCAATCC